CGTTATCAATTCTATTTGAATTATTTATTAACATCAAATGAATTATCTTTGTCACTTAATTATTTAAAATAAGACATCATCGAGACTTTATTAATTATTCTACACAGAGAATATTTGATTTTATTTTCTGAACATAATTTCCTCGATTTTTTTCAGATAAAACGTAATCGTACAATATAGAAAATATTTTCTTTTTCTATCTTTTGACGAAATGTTTAAATTTATCTATTAATGTTCATTTTTTGTTATCATATGATCACACAGTTTATAGCCTCTCGTAATGCATTCCGTAAACTATAATCCAGCAATTTCAAATTCGATGAATGCGATGATAAATGATTTATCAGAATAAATATAGATAGATAGTTAGTACACTGTTTTTAACTCAGATGGTGTGTGTGAGAGATCCAACATTCTCCTGTTAGAACTCAGTTTTTAAGCTTAACCTTTTTGTTTTTGATGAAGGTGTATCCAGATTAATTTTTTAATCTGTTAATACGATAAACAGGTAAGATATTTTCACAATATCCATTGTACATTTCTTCTTCAAACATCAATTTAAATAACTAAGTTTTTGTTAACATCTTTTTCTTGTGAAGTAGACGTCATTTTACCTTCATACTATTGGCTATTGTTCGGATTGTGTCTGAAAGACAAGACGAGTGTAACACAATGATAGAGTCAGTACTGTCCATTCTTTTTATCTGGAATCTAATTGTTTACTTTGGAATGACTTGATTTAAATTAGAAAAGATTTTTTATCTTTATATCTAAAACATATTTTTGATTCTATTATCTATGATTTTATAGAGAATTTCAAGCGTTATATATTTTGATTGATAGTGTCTTAGTTAGATGAAGAACAGATGAGAATTTTTGAAAATACTTAAAAGACAATTTATTCTGTATGATTGATTATTTTTGTTAGAGATAATTTGTTAAAGAATATTCAATGAAAGAGGATATATAAAAATAGATGTTTGACGAAAGCTGAAGAACTTCCTTGTGTCATTCAATTGACTATTGAAGATACATTATTCTTTTCTTTTCATCATAAATAAATGTTTTCATCGATATATATTTTTTTTTATTGTAGAGACTAATATTGTCATTATTGATTGTTTAATTAAATTATCTTGATTTGAATATTTCTCTAACTATGAAATAAGAAGGAATATTATAACATTTGAAAGAATAAATCATCATAAATGAATTGAAATTGAAATAGTAAAATAGAATCGAAATAAAATATTTTTAAACTAAATAAAATCATTTTTTAAGAGAAATATTTTTTATAGTAATATTTAACTCTAATAAATGAGACTAAAGAGAATATTTGTGTCATTTAAAGACTTTTGATTTTTATTAAAGATAAAAAAGAAGTGTTATTTAACATATATAATATCTAAACTGAATCTTTTCGATTAATTACTGATGAATAATTGCTGATGTATGTTTAACAAGTAATTAGTTGTTTGTTTTTAAATAATACAATATATTGTACTAGTCTTCATTATGTGAACATTGTTTAAAATAAAAACTAAATATTTCATAGATTCTTTCTTTTTTTTGTTTTTGATATAAATTATATATAACAAAAGAACGAAAAACATTATGACCTTGTACATTCTTTTTTTTCCTTTTTCGTTATCAATCATATGAATTTATTCGTTGCATTTCGTTTGTTTTTTTTTATTATCCTTTCTGTTATTGAAAAAATATTTGGCTGTAGTTGATCCAATTGAGAATGGGAGTAATAAATAAAAATAAATAGCGTAGATGAATTTGTATTGTTCATTTTTTCTTTTAGTGATGTCATCGAGTCCAAATATTGTAAAAGTATGTTCATTTTTTTTGCATTTTCTTTTCTTTTATTCTTCAGTATATAAAAGTTGAATTTGTCTGTAATTATTATTTTATTCAATATGATGAATAAGAGCAATAGAAAGCAAATCTTTGAAATAAAAAACAAAGTTTCAAATGTAATTTTTTTATTTTAGATATTGATTTATTCTACATAAGAAAACTAATGGGTAATCAAAATCAATGTTTATTATAAATAGACATTGCCGAACTCGCAACTAGTGCAAAGTGTAGTGAAGAACGTAAGTAGAATTCAGAGATGAACATCATGTGAAATTTGTTTTTTTGTTTTCATTTTTTCTAGATATACAAGATTTGGCTAAAGTAAATAATAAAATATTTTGAAAAGACTTATTTTAAGAAATATAGTTATTTTTGTGAAGCAAACCAAAAGATATGTTTCAACAGGTCCATTGAAAAAAATTAATTTATTAATTTTTACAAGGAAAATAGCAAATCCAACGAAAATTTTGATTTAATTATTGAGTATGTCAATTGTTAGTCGTCACATTTGATCAAAATTGTTAATATTATTTTAGACGTTTGTTTCATATATTAGATAAAAATCATGATGGTTCAATAAATTTAAAGGAATTTATATTATTTTTCATCCTTCTCGAGGGTGGTAATGCCGATAAAATGTTAGAAATTTCATTTACATTGTAAGTTTTATTTTCAAATATCTCGATATAATCAGAACAGTACAGATAGACGAGATGAGATTAAATAAAAGCATGATAATACTCGAAGTAGTTCATCTCATAATTGGGAAAGTGTAACATGTGTTATTAGTCGAATGTTTATATTTTCATATATAGATTGAAGCAATCAAATGATGGATATATTACTTATAATGAATTAGTCAATTTTATGAAAATGCTGGTAACTATTTCACTTTCTTATTTCACATTATGATGATAAATAAAGTAATAATGAATTTTTTTAAAGGAAGAATTAGATGGTGAGGAAGACAATCAGAACGCTCCCAACAAATTTGCTTCAGGAATTTACAAGAGTTTGGGCATCGATAAACAAGATAAAATAAGCAGAAAACAATTTATACAAGGGTATCCATCGAAATTTATGTTTTTTTCTTGTTAATTATCTTCTTTTAGATGCAAACAAGATAAAGAACTTTGGGATTTCTTTGAAAAAGGCACTTTACTTTCTGCCATATTGACGCCATAATATTCAATTAATAAAACAAACTTTATATTTTTATTAATGACCTATTTTGATATTTAATCTTTCTCTTTTCTTTTCTATAACATTAAAATAAAAAATCAAAGAATTCTTATTCTTCTTGAATAACAATTATTTTCGGAATAATCTTTCTATTAATCATATTCAAATTGTTCCATGTTTCATTCACCATTTCTACATTAATTATTTCTCTTCGTTTCTTTTTTCATTCTACAATGTGATCATTATCATAAGTGATTATTATTATTAAATACAGAGTATTCAAAAAACCGTCGAAAAAGAAAATGTAAATAATTCTTTAACAGTTAAACAGATTTATCTTGAAATTTTTCAGTATTTTCGAATTTTCTTTGAACCAATGTTAAACGCGTATAGTAGCAAATTGACAATTATCTGAAAGATCTTTAGTCGTCGAACTTTTCATCATATGAATAAAATGTACTTCATTCATTGAGAGTGTGGGTGTGGATGAAAAGAAGAGTCTCATTCACACCCTCATTGTATGCATAATTTGTGTTTAGAATATTTTTTTTTGTATTTTGTTTTCTTTTCTCCTCTCGTCAACGTTCAATATCAATAGTATCCTCTTGTCAGATATAAATGATTTCCTTATTATATTTATATAGAATTAGGTGACAGGATGGTCAAGAAGTTTTCTCCTCACCAAATAAAATAAAATGATCTTCCTGTGATTAGCACGAACAACTAAATTGTGTTTCACATTTGATTTCAGCAGAGATTGCGCTAGTATTTGTTTTTTTTTGGATCATGAGATTTTCATCATTTCTACTATTAGATGCAAATGCTAATTTACACCAGAAAAAAATTATCCTTGACAAAATTTTGAATGAAGGAAATACTCTGCCACATCCTATTACAGAAGTGACAATACCTGTTGGTTTTTCTTTTATTTTAATACTCCTTATGTCAATTTCAATTATGAAGTATTTTTTCTTAGTTCAAGTAGTTTTTTAATCTAAAGATCGAATTATCGGAGCCAACATTCATGATCTGTTAGAAAAGCATCAGTGTGGGTTTTAAAAACAATACACATACATACTAAATAGATTTCGTGATGCTCAGTATTTGTAAATAAATAATTTTCTGAATTAGTTATAGTTTTTCATCATTTTTATAGTATACGATCATTCAAATATTTTTAATGATTGTTTCTATGAGTAAGACTTTTCTTGTTTCGCTAGGGAACAATTCAAATATAGTCGTGAGTATATGGATAGATAATAATATTAAAAAGTAATGTGTAAATGAGCATTTCAGTAAGGATTTGATAAATAAACAAAAAATTATTTTATACTTGCATAATTAGTAATGATCGAATAGATAATAATAATATAATACTAGAATAATAAATGAGTTCGAGATCATAAAATTTATTATTATCTTACAATCATTATATTCAGACAAGCTTCGCGTATTTGAACATAGATACTAATTATCAAATCAAATCTAGAACAATTTACTGGATATCTAGTAGCCCTAATAACCAGTCCGACTGAATTGGTGTACCCATAACGTAGATCCACACTTAATTCTGGCACCGATAATAGTTTCAATAACAGTTTTATTTGTGCAAATTTTCAAGTCGAGATTCAACGTAGGTGAGGTGAGCTGAGTGGAATAACAGCTTTTTGCAAACGTTTGATATCTCAAGAATGAAACTTACGACTGATCGAACGAACATCGTGTCAATCGAAAGTCGATGTAGCAGTTCGAGACGCTACCCTCTTATAGATTGTTTAATAGATGGACAAGATTAGGATCGAAAATGGCAAAGACAAGAATGAATTTTTGTTACTAATTTTCATCTATTCGCGATATGTCTTCTCGTACAATTGTTTATTCAGTCGATTATAGTAATTTATTTCAATCAAATTTCACACTCAATTAATTATATTCAATCTCGACGAAAATTTCTATGAACTGTTCAATATATTAATCATATCTTCAGTGAGTTTGTATTTTGCTACTTTACCCATTACATTTCGAGTAAAATCATCGACAAATCGAATATGTTCGGGTATTTTATATGAAGTTAATTTGTCACTGAGAAACATTTTGAGTTCGTCGACTTCACATTTCGTTTCCGGTTTCAATTTTACAAATGCACATACAACTTCATCAACGAGTGGATCAGGAATTGAAAACACTTGAACATCAGCCACACTTGGATGTTCCAAAATGACTCGTTCAATTTCAATCGGATATATATTGGTAGCACCTTGAATGATCATTTCTTTTTTTCGTCCGATAAAGAACAAATAGCCATCATCATCCATTCGTGCCAAATCGCCAGTTCGTAACCATCGATCATCAGTAATCATCTCCGCCGTTCTTTCACGATCATTATCATAGCAAGACATGATTGAATAACCACGCACCCAAATTTCTCCTTCGGATCCGATCGGAACAACTGTTCCGTTATTGTCGACAATTTTAATTTCCATATGAGGCAAACATCGACCAATCGATGTATGCCGTCGATCGTCGTCATAATTGGTATCGACAGTACAAGTTAGAAAATTGCCAATCTCAGTCATACCATATCCTTGTTCTACACGGCTAATACCGAGCTCTGCTTCGAGCATGGACAAAAACTCTGGCTGCATTGATGTTCCAGTGACGGAAATATATTGTAACGAGTTCAAGTCATATTTGTGTCGATTTGGATGTGCGAGAATATTGCGACATAGGGTGGGATTAATGATCATACACGTACATTTTTCGTTATCTATAGCTTGCATTATAGCCTCGGGATTGATAATCAGACTGGGTATGATGACTGTGCAGGGATTCGTTGATGGTAATAATACACCCATGGTACCAGTTGTGATGTGAATCATTGATTGTGGTGCACAATAACGTATACAATACGATCCAAAGATCAATCGAAGCATTGCGATGGTATTGAGCACGCCAAAATTCGTGTGAAGGACGGCTTTCGGTCGTCCGGTTGAGCCCGATGTGAGATAAATCAATAGGGGGGTTTCGGGTTTCACAGAACACGTCTCGAATCGAACTGAATGTTGTCGGCCTTGTTCGATCAATGCACTATACGAATGTGCATTTCGAATCGAAGCGAGTACGTTTTGATTCGATCCAATTAGGATAACGTGTTTGAGAGTTGGTACACTTGTGCGTGATTCATAGTCAAGATCAGGCACGGCCTGTTTGAGAATGTTCAGCGCGCTATCAGTCGATGCGATCACAATGCCCTTACAGCGGGTTTGATTGACAGCATCAGCTAATTCACGACCAGTACTGTCTGGATTTAAATGAACCTAATCGATTGAGAAAGCTCGGTAAATTAAGTAATATATTTGTCTGATTGTACCTACGTACCTTAATAATGCCAAGTTTAGAGGCGACATAGCTGAGCAAAACATTCTCTGAACAGTTGGGCAACGCCACAGCTAATCGATCACCAATCTCGAATCCGAGTTCGAGAAGAGATGTTGCCAACCAATCGATTTCATGTTTCCATGTCGCATATGTGTACCGTTTATTTTCGCCTGAAAAAGACGAGATCAAATCAGATTCGAACGATATGTACGTACCTTTGAAGACATAACATTCGTAATCAGGATATTGAGAGGCAAGTTCGTCGAGACTCTGTGCAAGAGTTTTGTACTGGAAGGGGAATGAAGATGCGTTATGAACGTAGCTTGATGTACGCTTTGTTGTGCTGCCATACCCATCTTTCGACATCTCTATTTACAAAAGGATGCACCAAGGGGGAAAAAGCGGATCCTCGGATCCTTGGGATCCTCTGGATCCTTTTGGACCCTTTTGGATCCTATTGGATCCTTTGAGATCCTTTTGGATCCTAGGATCTGAAAGGATCCAAAAGGATCTAAACTGGGATCCAAAAGGATCCGAGGATCCGCTTCCCCCCCCCCCCCCTTGGGATGCACGCATAATTGATGCCCTACAAATAATGTTTAACTTCTATTTTCAAGAAGGTTCTCTTGTCAGTGTGATATTTGACAGATCAGTATCCACTGAATCGTTTAGCTACGCAGTCAAGAAAATGAAAAGTATGATAAAAAATTTTTGATAACGGTTTTAATGAAATTTCAAACGTGTTAGAATATTTTACATAAAATCGTGAGTCTTTCCCAAAATTTTAGAATAAATATTTTTGTGGAAAAATTTTGAAATAGACAATGTGAAAGCACGAAAATAAGTTATATTCCGATAGACTTAGACGATTGTTCTCTTATAATTCGGGGTTGTCTAAATGTTTCAACTATTCAAGTTAACATTTATACCATTTTGTTCAAAATTGAATTCTACATCCTATGGTATGACAATCAACGTTCCACTGAACAAGTCTAGCTTTGGAAAATATAACTTTTCACCATGCACCTGAAAATAGTAGTATGCATTAGTTCGAAGCTTTTTTCTTTTCACTGAAGAATAATACCAAGAACTTTGCACGGGGCGTGGAAAGAAAGAGCACAAAATTCTCTATCCATGAGTATAAAACACCTCGCTTTTAGTATCTGTCTGGATGAGTACAGATCAGCAAAAATTGTTGGAGATCTGCAAAACATGTGGCGGCGCAGCTGGATGATTGAATAGGTGTTGATTTTTAGAATTTTACACCGACAAGGAAACCTTTTCCGAAAAACGAAGTTGATAGCTTTGTAGAAAAACAATTTCCTACCGAATGCGCACAGAACCCGATTTGTAAACGATCTTTTAGTGCCTCAAAGACTAGAGATACAACAGTTCGAATTCTAGCCGATTTCAATTTCTGAAATTCGTTGGAATTAGTTAGACTGAGAATCGAGATTGATTGGTATTGGTTGAACATGGAATTTGAATTGATCAAAATTGACTAGAATTGGAAGCGAATTTTAAATTCATATAGATATGGGCAAAATTCGTCGTTTCACATCAATCAATTTCGATTTCCTATCTAACCAATTCCAAGCAAAAAATAGGAACTAGAATTTATGCATCTCTGTCAGAAGACTGACAACACAAATTGGCCTTTATTTATAGGACACCTATTACATTCTCTCCTTATCTTCACATATGGACCATATTTGCCCTTTCAAATCTGAAGTGGGTAGGAGCAGTGAGTTTATCTTACCTAAACAGAACAAAATCAACGTGTTCCACATCAAAGCGATGGTTATGTTGTAAAATGCAATAAAGCATTGTTTTTTTATGTTGTAGATGAATTACAATTTCTTGTACGTCGACATATCGATAGGAAAAATGAATATGAACATATATGTGAATCAGTATAGGAAATTTTTTTAAAAAAAACATCCGATTCATTTATGATGTGAAAATCTGTCCGAAGTAGACAGTAAAACTTTAGCTGATGATCAAAGCAACGCAAACATCTATAAGCACTGCGAAGTCTGACTCGGACAATATCGTAGAAATACGAACGAACTACTCTCGTTCACATATTGTTCACAAATAAAAGTCAAGTGTCACTCAATCACTGACAAAAACAACAGATAGAAATGGTCAATTCGTTCTGTCTCAACAAATATTCATTTCAATTTATGACACGGTAGTGACGTCCGTAGTGGAAATTAAGTTTACTTTTATTCGTCCTAATCAATTCTTCTTGAACTTTCCAATACAACCAACAAAAAAGTGTCTTTTTGTTCGAACATAGAGTGGCCAGATCTTCGGATTTTTCAGAAAATTCTTCCAATTTTTATATCTTTTCGTATTGAGAGTAGGACAGTTTTAAAGAATCATGTGACGTCAAGCATTACTTACTTCTTCAACTGCAAAGACGAAATATGACGACAATCAAGAGATAAATAATACGATCCTACACGGGCGTTTATGACTGTCGCAATTCTTATCTTGGACATGTTTTACCTTGAAATGTTTCTTTTAATTTTCTTCACATTATCAGTTCGCATATAAAAAGATCGCTAAGAAGAGATGATTTCAAGTCAAATTTCAATTTTTTTTGGTGGTTTGAGGAGGGCCACGGCTTTCTGGACACGTTCGATAACTCAAGAACAAAATCTCTCAGACAACAAAACAATTTTAGGTTTTTTTATCACTCGCTGCAGCTGATAGAATGAATTGAGTGTGGGTTAATAAATGCACTATAGCCACACCAACAGCCACATGCAAAGCCACGCTCCACCCACCGACCCACACATCCAACATCTCACCCACACCCACACTCACATCCAGCATTTTCGTCCTATTTAATCGTACTTTGCCAGTCCGGTAAGAGAATCGACGTAAATTACTCAGGCTGATATGTTGATGAAGCAATTTTGGCTATGGCTAGCGAAAAGAGTCATGTGTCGTAGTTGTATGAATAACTAGGGATGTAAGTCAATCGGCTGACCTGGCGCCGCCGCTAATATTTTTAAAAAAGAGTGCGGCCACCACAGCTGACGATCACCTAGATCGATCGTTTCGAGCACCGAACTGTCATAGGCCGGTCGGTTTCCGTCAATTTCAGTGACTTCCTTGTTACCGGATCCCGATGACTTTCTGACCGTTTCCGACTGGAGCTGATCGGAATGGAACGGAATGGAATGCTAAGAAAATCGCAGGAATACAAAGGAAATTGGTCGGTTTCAGAACTGCCGACAGACCACTTTTTTCTGGTCTAGCCTGGTCTCACCTGCAGACCAAAATAGGTCGATTGATGTTTCTGACTTTGTGAATACGTTTAATTTTACAAGTCTACATGAATGTATCATTCTATTTTCAATTTTTCACTTAATTTGCTTTCATAAAGACAAGATAATAAGTTTTGGCACGAAACAAAGAATTAAAATAGAGAAACAGCAGTCATAAAAATTTTTCATAAAAGAAAGGCTTCAATTAGCACGATATCTTTGACCATGTCAATGTAATCATGATAACTAAAATAATTTGTAACGACACATACAGCGAAGCGGCAACAGAAAATATACAAGGAAAATGTAGAGAATATTTTGGATGTGAGTTGGTGTGGGGATGTCAGTGCGGATAATTTTGCCACTAAAATCTACATTCAAACCGACACACCCACTCTAAATAATACTCAAAAATTGCTGCTTTCAACGAGTAAAAATAGTTTCACTTTGAATAGTATTATAACGATAGAGAACCAAAGTATTAATTAGTAATACAGTATTCCGATGTCATTTAAGATTTTGATATTTCTGTCATTATGATCAAGCATTCAAAAGTTTCTATGAATGAGTCAGATGTATCAGTAGTGTCATACCTGTGCACAAGTCTCACCATGACAAATGGAAAAAAAGAGATAAGCATAGTAATATTCAAGGCTATTCTCTTTCTGTACGTCAACTCTTTTTCAAAGTCTATATAAATGCATGTTGATCATTTTAATTCTCGATGAAATCATTTCTAACGCCACCCAAAACGCAATAAATATGGAACAGCAAGTTTTTCTGGTCGTTATTACTTTAACTATTCTTCTTATTCAACACTGTCATTCTCATTCTGAACAACAACCAAAAGGTTTTCCAAAACAATTTGTTGCTATATTAAATCAAACATCCTATTTACATCAGAAAGATTCTGGTGCACCAGAACAATTAGTTTATGATTTCATTAATCAACGTGCACGATTTGATATAAAAGGTTGGAGAGCTAAACAAAATGAAACATATATGATACAATTTAAACCAAATGGAGCTGAACTTGAATCGGTAAGTAACACTAGGCGTACAGAAAACAATGAAGCCAGCACACATCATGTTTGCCGAAGTCGTGCTTGTCAAAGTTCAATGCCCTAAACAGTCTTTTATTCAAACAGAAAACTTAGTAGATCGCTATTTGTTTTTAATTTCGAAAATTATTCAACAAGTAGCCATAATTCAGGTAATCTACTTCTTTGTTTTAGCCGGCAGCACAAGGTTATACAATGTTCAATTTCAATCCTGATTATCCAGAAGTGACCAAAGTAAGCTCTCAATTTTGAAAAAAATAAAAGCAACTTTTTTTTTTGTTAAGGGTAACTGTTGGTATAATACTCTTCCAATAAAAGATTTCGGTGCATTTCCATATTCATGGATGACCGCTGACGGTGATATTGATATGAAACCATGGTTTCCATTACCTGATAATTTAGTTTATAAATCTATTGAATGGATTCCAGAGGTACAAATTAATGCACTTGTAAGTCTCTTTAACAAATACATCACTCTTTCAGGATCAGTCATTGCTTTTGATCTATAGAGATATGATTCATCTGATATATGTGATTTAAAAACAAGTGGTATAGGTAAAGTACCATGCTTAAGTTACTTTGAAACCAATGATGATACACCAGTTAAAACAATACAAGCAAGAGCGGCAAAGGGCTCTTTTGATACTGATGAGTAAGTGATTATCATATTTGGGATTTAATTCAAAAATGTAATCTTTCAGATGGGTCAAAGCTCGACCATCTCAGGACATTTACAAAAATTGATGATTTAAATCGAATTTTCTTAGTCAGATTCATGTTAAAAACTGTTTTCATGCATATCTGAGCCCATTAATGTGTCTATGTTTATTCTTGATAAGTTGTGATGATATCAAAATGGTTTCTGGATTTCCAGAAATTGAAAATTCAGTATATAATACATCCCTGGAACTTGTAAAGTATCATTTTTTTGGAAACAGAAACCAGAAACTGACATCCCGAGCTTCTGACTAAGAAACATGTCGGTTAGGATAGTTTCAAAGGACTAGAAAATATGACTTGAGTTATTCTTTGAAGAATATAAGAATGGTTTTGAAACTTTTAATATTTTTTATACTAGAAAAACATTGTCGATCGAAAGATTGATCTCGAAGTACCAAATTCATTTCTGATTTGTTTTATCGGGTTCTTTCGCAACAAGCGAAATTAGCCGAACCTACAAATTTGCTCTAATCTAGCTGAAAAATTTGAGCCCTCTCATCGGTCTCTAACCAAAAATGATTTTCTTTTCAATTTCATAGATATACATCAGTCTTTTACTTATCATTTATAAATGGCATCCCATCAAAAGTTGAACCACTGTTTAATTTGCCTGCACAATGGCCATCAACATGTGGCAATGCTAATAATGGTAATTTTCAATTTTATTCGTCGTACGTCTTTTACTAGTGTCTTTTTTCATGATTTAGGTTACTCACAATCACCAGTACGTGGTTTTGTTGTTACACCAGATGGTGGTCTTGATAATTTCACATTGACATTACAAACACCGCCTGTTCATTCACTGGGTGATGAAGTAACAATCAATTTTAGACCACAACCAGATTGGTATTATAATGGTACAGAATGTGCAAAATTCACAGTTAATGGCAATCCAAAAATTGTGTTTACAAAAGACAATTGGAATAAACCACAACGTGTTGATATGAAATTTTCTGGATATGGTTGTTGTAGTTATGAAATTGAAGGTATAGGTGGTAGTTATGAATGGCAATATCAAGGACAAACATTTGTTGTTTATGGTTGTGATGGAGTTGGAGGTTATGGCTGTAATGGAAAAGAACCATGTGGCGCTTAAAAGAATAGTATATTCTATTGTTGAACTGAACCTATTGAAATAAAATTCACTTGGGTGTGGGTGTGGGTGTTCTCTTCATCCACACCCACCCTCTGCGACACAACAATAAAGTTCCATACCGTTGTAAGACTAATAAGTTCCTCTGAATGTCATTTTGTTATGTATACAGTACCTTTATGAAAGTTTCAATTTTTCCGTTTATAGACATTCGAAGAAAATAGCGAATCGATCATAAACAGACTAGTGAGGTTTTCGGATCGGGATGAGTTTCGAGTTCCGAAAGTTCAACCAGCGCAGAACTCTATTTTAATCATAGGTAGAAATAGAATTTTTCAAGACATACACGATGGCTACTTAAAATTTTGTCTCTCAAAAATTTTTACTAAATAATTTTCAAAAAAGCCTATATTTCAATTTCTCTACTCTTACTTTTTTCTCTATTTTTGGTTACTTCTCAAAATGTCGCATGATGTGTTGCACTTATGAACTCTACAATTAAACGGTCAACATATTTTTTGTAGAGAATTGAGCGGAAATATTTTCGTAATAAACTAGTCCAATTAAGTTAGAGAAAGAAGAGATATTGAGAAAATACTAACAGCGCATTTTTTCCTACGCCACCTGTTATAAGAGTTCGTTTTTTTTTCTTTTCAAGATAAGGCACCATGATATTTCCACGTGTGCAATACAATCGAAAAGGCTTCCTAGACTGATAATTACCCATTCTCGTTTATTTTTATGTTAAAATAAATTACAACTATTATTCTATATTGTGTTAGACGTTCTTCAACAGTGGTTTAGTTGTCGTCCATTTATTCGAAGGATTTTATCCGAAGGAGCATAAATTCTGGTGAATAAGCCTATTTTGACGTTGATTTAAAGAGTTTTCAACAGTATGAATTACTTGTTTTCACGGTAATTTATGCCATAATGATGAAGTGTATTATAACCTTGTATTTCACTGTAGCTAATTGATCATTTTCTTAAGAAAAAAAAAATTCGACAAAGAAGCCTAGGTGCCCAAATATTGGCAATTATGTATTTTACCTTTCATTCATGCGTCGCAATTATTTAGACTCATTTTCTTTGATGTATGAGGTTTTCGTTCTATATTATTATTTTTCACTGTCTCTCTTAACGTTTATGATGCACGATGAATAAACTTTTTTTTTCTGAAATTGAAAAGAAACTCTATTTAAGCGATTAGTTGTTTTACCTTAATTTCATGTACTATATTTATTCACAGCTTTGTGCTTGTCTAGTATAGACGAATTCTACTGTTCTGTGATTTTCTTTTCATCCGACAAGTAAGGATTTAGACTAGCGTTGCGATGAAACATGAATAGAACAGCAACGATTACAGCGAAATAAAGTAATTAAATATAGGAATTAGGAATCTTACTTGGTCAGGAAAAGGATATTGAGGAGGAAGAAAATACGAAGATCTCGCGACCAGCGTTTCCAATGGAAATCAAAAACAAAACGTATTTGTGCACTTTGCTTATACGGACAAAGTGTATGTTTACACTTTGTTTTCGCTAGCACAGTGTAGTGAAACAGATGTTTTTCAATCTAGAAAGCAAGGATGTGGATGTAGGTCTCGCTGTGTAGGTATTGGTGTGAGTGTGAGAATGAATGTCCAGTATGAGAAAATCAACAGTCATACCCACACCCACACTCACCCAAAAACAGTTTGCACAACACACATAATTAAGAGGTCACAATCTACTATCATATACAGATAATCATTGATTGACATCAATATTATATATAGCTGCTGAGGTTCTAGAGTCAAAGTGTAAATTATTTTAGCAAAGTGTAAATCAGGGTGCAGATCAGAAGCACTAGATGTTTTGTACATTTTGCTTCTGCTTGGTACACCTGCTTTTGGAAACACTGCTCGTAACTCTTGGTAACAGTCACGACCAGTTGGTGAATGAGAAAGCTCGATCTATAATTTAGTCATTTCTTCCAGTCTTCTAGTTATGTTTCGGATAGAGATGGTGCTTGATTTTGAATTCGGTGAAAGGTCTTCCGAGTCAAAGAATTTCATTTTATATATGAATTGTCGAAGCTTTGTGAAGCACGATTTCTAATGAGTATTGAGTAGAGATCAGCGGGGTCACTTTTTTTTAACTCCACTTTCGAAAAAACTCCGACATATTTTCCTGTAAATTAATGACAGTTTACGTGTATGGAGGTAATATGTATATGTGAATGGACAGATATTTTGAATGTCCGAAAGAAAATTCAAGCTAATTATATTTGAAATTTTCTTTTTGTCGATCAAAGATACTTGCAACGAATGCTAAGCTCTTCCTGTGAGAAGAAATTCTAAATATGATTCTGTTAAATGAGTGCCTAAAAAAACACACAATAAAAGTGAAGTTGAGGGTGGAAGTGCACACCTTCTCTTCACGCACATATATGCTCGCACCAATACCTATACTCACACTCAGCCTTGATAGTTGGCTAATGGCGTCCGTATCAATAATTCTTCGAGTGAATATCTTTGAACAATTCAGACTTTTAACTTCCAAATTTTTCGACATATTTACGTTTCACTCTTTTTATTCTGACCAAAATTTAGAGAATCAAATCTGCTTGATATATTTTGATAGAAATCAATTTAATTATAGGACCCTCGGTCTTTGTCTATTGCACATTTTATTTGTTATTTAACCATTAGTACATGCCCTGGTGTCCTCTTATATAGAAGTGAAATTTTCATTTCTACTTAGTAATGAGGTTTTCATTGTTCGTCATCTCAAACATTTCGCTTTGATTGAAAGCAAACTAGCTGCCAGCATTGATAAAACTTTTGCAACATGAATAATAAATTTGTATTTATGTATATCACTCCTAGTTATAGAAATCTATTAGAATGAAGTGGATAGGAATATAAAAGAATACAGGGAATTTGCTTTCGACAATCGCTTGCAGCTATTTATATTTTATTTACGTGTGTTACACAAAAGCAAGCGATTGACTATGACACTTGAATCTGTAACAACATTTTTTACAGAGTAAACTTTCGAAATTTTTAGTCTTCAGCAAGACTTATAAATAAATTAGATACCCTGGTGGAATAAACGTGAATCTGAGTGAGAAATATGTTAGTTTCAACTCCTTCAGATACTGTATTCGAATCGAAACATTCTAAAAATGCACTCATTCAAACCTTTGAAAAACGCTGATGATTTTCAAATAGTTCTATTTTCTTTCTTTATTAGTCTTATGAACTTTTAAAATGATACTTTGTTCTCACATAACCTCGAACACTGTTCTAAAAAATCAAGCCTCATCAACTCGAGAAACATCGACCTGTTGGCTTTTTGGAAACCGAAAACTTATTTTTTTGAGAGAGACTTCGGTAATCTTATAAATCAATTTCTTTTTGTCGTCAACTATTATAGATGACATTGCTATCGGTTTTTTATTCTGTTCGTAACGAATTACAGATATGATTTTTAGATTTCGAAAATTGTACCTTCTTGCTTTACCAAAAGATATTCTAGTGATAACTAAAAGTTTGATATTGATATCCCCCAAAAGGCTTCTATTTTATTATTTATTTGTTCAATTCGACAATAAAAGAACTTTAAAAAAAGGTTTTAGGACTTGCTTTTTGATTTATTTTCTGAGCGAACACAGTTCAGAAGCGACATAGTGCTTCCGAATCAGAGACCGAAACGAATGACAAAAGTTCAATTCGGATTCCATTCGATTCGACCTAATTTTCAAAATTCTCTATTCGATCAAGGGAGAAAAAGCTGAATTTTTGATTGTTTTGATTGCTAATGATTTGCAATGATTGTTTATACTCTTTTATATCGAAAAACAGCCAGTCGAAGA